CTCGCAATTGCGAGTTTATATCACGCAATTCTGACTTTTTTTTCTCGTAATTGCGACTTTATATCTCGCAATTCTGACTTTATAACTCGCAATTGCAAGTTTATATCTCACAATTCTGAGAAAAAAAAGTCAGAATTGCGAGTTTGTATCACGCAATTCTGAGAAAAAAAGTCCGAATTGTGAGATAAAAAGTCGCAATAACCTTTTTTATTTTTTCAGTGGCGGAAACGGGCTTCCATATGTAAATTTATTATTTATGACTTGATTAGTTACAAAACTGAAAGAAAACTAAACTCAAGAGGATGGACATAAAGAGCTGAGGTTAGCCATTTCTGTCAATGAGGAATTGAGAATCACTTACTGGAGGATGATGTCATTATACAAAAAAACTTTACACAACCAGGAAATGCTCAAACTAAAGTAGCAAAATCAATATTGTAGAAATTACTGTAAACTTATTTAAATTGGCATAAATTATATAAAAAACATAGTTAGCTTACAAGTTAATTGTGATATTTTTTCATCCACCTTTGAAATTTTGATATTATCATACTGATTAAAAAAGAATGATCAAATTTAAATTCAAAACTCAAATTTAATGCTAAAATGTAATGATGTTTATGCTGTTTTGTTCCCCACCCAGTATTATGCCATTTTCTGTTTTTGCCATTTCTGATTACCTTATTACCACAGAGACATGCCCAAATTAAAGAAGTAAAATTAATACAGTGGAAATTACTGTAATATATTACTTAAATTAGCATATCCATATCCAAATTTATATTAGTGTTCCTGAAAATAGGTTTAATTTTCTTTATGCAAAATATATTTGCTTATTTATTTAAATTTTGGGACGGATGGGACCCTGGTATGTTCTTGAAAGGTTTTGTAAAATTCATTTCGCCTAACTGTTAGGTGAAATTAATTTGACAAAACCTCACAAATAAATGTGTGAATGTGTGTGTTGTTGATGACTAACTCAGATGTTGCAAAAGCATGATCATTGATGGCCTTCACCACATCCTTAAACTTTATCTTGGAGGTTCTAGTCCAGCCGTGGTATATAATAGGTTCATCGGGGCCATTCCAGCAGTCCACTGCATTGCAAAAAAGAAACATTAAGGTCATCAGACTGACTCACACCAATTTCAGAACAATTTTATCAATGCATTATCTATGCATAAAATGAAGCCGAAAAGGACTTGCATTAGTTCAACAGAATATTAAAGAATATTTATTGAGAAATTAGGGTATGGTTCACTGACACTCGACACAGCGGCAGCCCAGCCTCAGGCAGCGCACGTAAGCTTCTGTTGAGGACTCGCTGCGCAGCTGATCTCCAGTCAAATATCTGTGGAGAAAAAAAGCAAAACACATGAAGTAACACAGGAAGTTGATCATGAAGAGGAGGAGCTGCTGTATGTGTGTCATGAGCATGAAGAACTGCAGCACTGACGTGTTGTGAGAAGAGTTGATCCAGTAGTGAGACAGAGGATTGTTCATGTCCAGTGGGCAAATCTCTGAGAACTTTTCATCCCAGATCGAGTTCTCTTTGGAGAAGAGAAAACTAAGGAACTAGAAAGACAGAAAGAAAACTCTAAAAACACGTCACCTGAAGTTTACATAAAGTAAACACATCTCTATAACCCGTACCTCTTCAACAGTAAAGGCTGGATCGTTGGTCTTCCTCATGGTGTCATCGATGAAAATGGTCATCAGCTCTCGGACTTGATTTGTATTGTTGGCCCAAGACTCCTACAAAATAAATTCACAGTATTTGTTTTAAACCAAGCGTTTGAAATAGTATTTGAATGAAATTGATATATTTGGCTGGTATAGACAGTATATATATATATATATGATTGGATGAATGGATGAGCAAAAAGTCTTACTCTCTGATGAAATAAAAGGAATTTTTGAAAATCGCAGAGTTGAATAGGCTGATCGCTGTTACTGCAGAAAAAAACATACAAAACACTCAATAAGAATGACCTCATGACACATTTAAAGAACTGCTTCAATCAAAACAATGTTTTGACAGTTTCTTACCCCATGATGAAAGCACACGACTCCTTTTTAAACTCATCTAGAATCTAACAAAACAACAAACAACATACTCTATAGATGGTACTAGAAAAGTAAAGACTTTTACATTTTACAATCCTGTTCTTTCTATAACTTTCTGTTAATCAAAGACCACTGAAAAAATATGTATTACATTAAAAATGGCAACTGGCAAGCAGCACAACTTAAGATAAAAATGGCTAATGACAAGAATTGTTCATTGAGCTCCAAATCAGCATTAGAATGATTTCTGGAGGATCATGTGACACTGAAGACTGGAGTAATGACTGCTGAAAATTCAGCCTTGCCATCACAGGAATAAATTACATTTTAAAATATATGAGAATAGAAAACAGCTATTTTAAATTGTAATAATATTTCACAATATGACTGTACTTTTTACTTCTACTTTTTTTTTTTAATCGTACCAATCCCAAACTTTTTAAACTGCATACTTACCATCTTTTGGTTGTCAAACATCAAAAGATTGTAGAATTTGTGAAATTGCTCAAAATCCAGAACTTCTTTCTTTGCTCCCACCACCTGAAATTATAAAGTTGACACTTTTAGAGCAAAGCCATTAGCTATACATGTCTTAAAACAAGAAAAAATGTAAAAACTTATGGATAAACAGATGATCATCTGAAAAACTTTAGGAGAGGAAATGTTCCCACTCAGCTGCCATAAAGTTTTCCATATGATGCAAAGCATACACTTCCGTCAAGATAATGTGTATACAATGTATCATTCATACCACAATTCTGTCCTTCAAAAAACGTCCACCTGGTAATTTAAAGTTCATCTGAGGCAACAGAGACTTGAGCTCTTTCAGGGTGATGCTGTGAGAGACAGAAAAGGAGCAGTAATGAGGTGAGACAGAAACTAAAATGAGACTGGTCAAGAAGAAGGTGAAAGAGAAAGAGGAGAACCTGTTTTTCTTTGTTTGATCAACCGAGTACATCTGCTTCCTCAGCCAACTACAGTAGAGGGAAAAACACAGATGAAACAAACACATGATTTGTGCTACAGTTCATGAATACACAAGGTACACTCTCTGTATCTGTGTGTGTGTGTGTGTGTGTGTGTGTGTGTGTGTGTACCTTTCTATAATATTTGGTGTGTAAGCCACCAGTGTCTCCTGTCTGAGTAACTCCAGTCCTGCCAGCCATTTTTCTGCATCCTCCACTGAATCAGCTGTGGAACATACAGCAAATGCTTTCAGCACTAAAAACAATTCAGCTAGTTTTTCCTCTTCAGAACCCATCATTTTCTTCCTTTGACAGTCATTTCTTAACCAGCCAAAGAATAAACTATAGGCTACATCAACACAGGAAAGCAAAATGCGGCTTCATATGAAATGAATCTAAAACATATATTGAAAGAGAAAAAGTACCTCCTCGAATAGTCTATTATCATCCTCACCACAGTCAGATGCTGCAGTATAATTATCTATCATGCACATCACACACATTATATATATATATATATATTCATATCTCATAATGAATGTCATGCCAGCTGTGCCTACAAAATTGTATATATTGGTTATTCTGTACATTGTGCATATAGCATATTACATGTAGGCATATGGTGGAATGACAATAAAGTGATTTAATTACACTTATTATTATATTTTTTAGTTAGAACATGTAAAATGCATAAGAAGACACACATACCCGCCAGACTGAGAGTGTTGAGAACAAACTGAGAGCCATAGAATATAGTAAAGCATGAGTTGGGTTCTATATATTTATCCTTGCTGTCCTTGAATCGATCAAAGTCCTTGGAGTTTTTTCCTGCTCGTACTTCCCGGATCTCAAAAAGGTCCACTGCAAAAATGAGATCGCAACATGTAATTTAAAATATTAATAAATACCATAATAGTATATAATACTGCAATAACACTGGCCCAGATCTGATAAAAAAAACTGAAAATTCTTCTGGGGAAGTGGTTTGAATACATAAATTGATGTCACTATATGAATATCTGAAACACCATGACAAGGTGCATGACATGTTGTCATAATCAGCAAGTAAGAGTACACACAGTATAAAATGCACTAGTCATGTATAAAAGAGTAGAAAGATTAGGTGGAGAGGAAAAGAAAAGTAGCCAAGAAAGTGTGTGGGAACTACAAGAAAAACTCTGTGAGTGGAGTGGAATGTTAAAATGTGATGGTCAGTTCATCTCACTATCCATTTTTTTGTCAGATGATTTTTATATACATTTTATTAGTGATTTACACTGAGCTTCAAAAGTTTGGGATCCGTACAATTACTTTTTTTCATCAAGGATGCATTAATTGATCAAGAGTTAAAGTAAAGACTTTTACATTGTGACAAAAAAATTCTATTCAATAAATGCTGTTTTTTTTTATGCATCAAATAATTGTTCAAAAAGTCACAGTTTTCCACAAAAATATTAAGCATCAAAACTTCAGACACTGATAAAAATAAGAAATGTTACTTATATAAAACAGTTATTTTAAATTGTAATAATATTTCACAATATTTCTTGCATTGTTGTTATATCAAATAAAGGCACTCTTGGTGAGCATAAGTCTTTTTCAAAAACATTTTTAAAAATCTTACCGATTCCAAACTTTTGAACAATAATGTAATTCATTCAAATTTCTGTAGAAAAAACAACTTACAAAAAAAAAAATCAACCTACTTTAACTTGTTTTCCCTTTTAAAATAAACATTCCTTAAAAATAAAAATGTAGTATATACTTGAAACATTTTGTACTACAAATATTATTGATAATTTTTGTGATGATCCTCATTTGTTGCTTTGGATAAAATCACCGGCTAAATGAATTTGTTTAATGCAAATGCCACTTAGTTTGATTTTGTTATATAAAATCGCTTCATATGTCTTCATATTTGTAACATCCAATGTGAGCAATCACTTTAAGACAACAACGTACTGTTACTAAATTGCCAAGTTAACTTTAATCATAAAGCTTCTGTAGCTTAAATGCTGAAGCATGACACTGGAAACACCGAGGTCATCATACAGATAAAAACAAACAGCTTAAATGCAAATTTAAGTGTAAATGTGAGAAATAAGCTTGAGGGAAGACACTCACACACTCCTTCTGTCTTGTTAGCGGTGCGCGACCAGGCCACCTGTCGCGTCTCCATGATGACCTGCACTGTAAGCCTCTCCATCCTCTGTCTGAACACAGTCATCACTATCCCCATCTCCAAATCCCGCTTAATGAGACTCTTCTTGTACTCG